CACTTTGTGTGAGATAAACTTCGTCGCATCACATGACAAGACCCATCCCAGTATAGTATATCCCAGTTGCTTCGGTTTGTATTGGGCGGTGGCGGTGGCGTTACAAAGGGTGTGAGAAATTGGCAATGAGTTGTGTTGCTGGTTTATGTATTCATATGCATATGAAAGAATGTAGATATATGGTCCGTGGGGGCTTAGCCTTAGGTTTGGGGGCTTAGCCGTAGCCCTGGGTGTGGACGAAGGCGGAGATATGGTTGGGGTTGTGGTTGGGGTGTAGCAAGCGTCTATGTGGTATTGATATGGGTGCATCTCCAAAGCGGTGCTGGACATGCAGCTAAAATTTGGGGACTTTATATTTACATTTGTACTTGTGGACATGCATGAAAACACACACAAATATATAAAGGTACATACCTACATATACCTACATATATCTACATATATCTACATATACCTACATATACCTACATATACCTACATATACCTACATACGATATACCTACATACGTACATACGTACATACGTACATACGTACATACGTACATACGTACGTACGTACGTACGTACATACATACGTACATACATACATACATGGAAATATGCACAAGTGACATAAAAATAAAATAATGTCAACATCGTATTAATAACCCCCCCCCTCCCCCCCAAACATTAAGAGCGTCAGAATAAAGTTAGGGCCAAACATTCAACTATCGTAAAAATCACCTATGTATTCCCAAATGAATTGCCTAATTGAAAACGAATACATAAGGGAACTTTCCAAAAAAAATGAAATCATCTATGTATTCCCAAATGAATTGCCTAATTGAAAACGAATACATAAGGGAACTTTCCCCCCAAAAAAAAACACGTATGTATTCCCAAATGAACTGCCTAATTGAAAACGATTACATAAAAGGAACTTTCCAAAAAAAAACACCTATGTATTCCCAAATGAATTGCCTAATTGAAAACGATTACATAAAGGGAACTGTCCAAAAAAACAAAAAACCACCTATGTATTCCCAAATGAATTGCCTAATTGAAAACGAATACATACAGTGACCTTTCTTGGAACTTTAGTATTCACAAATTCATTGCCTAATTGAAAATGAATACATAAAGTGAACTTTCTTGGAACTTTAGTATTCACAAATGAATTGCCTAATTGAAAACGAATGCATGAAGTGAACTTTCTTGGAACTTTAGTATTCACAAATGAATTGCCTAATTGAAAACGCATACATAAAGTGAACTTTCTTGAAAGGGTTTAGTAAGGAAAGGGTTTAGTAAGGAAATCGACCATTTGAGCCTTGTTGATTTTTTTGCACTCCAGAACTTTTCAGGCAAAATTTGGAGTTTGGAGTTTACTGCTTCCAGCTCAAAGAGTCTTGAGGGCTTCAGAAAGGGTTTGAGAAAGGGTTCAACTAGGAAAGGAATTGATAAACAGATTTAATTAACCACCAAAATTTTAGAACCCTGAAATCCAAATACTTTATTTAGGGGTGTGCAAACATACATTATTATTTTGATGTTAGGGGACTTCAAGGCTACACCCTTTGCGCGATTGTTTTTTGGCATTTTTTGAAAGGGTTTAGTAAGGAAATCGACCATTTGAGCCTTGTTGATTTTTTTGCACTCCAGAACTTTTCCAAAAAAACAAACCACCTATGTATTCCCAAATGAATTGCCTAATTGAAAACGAATACATAAGGGAACTTTCCCTCCAAAAAATAAAGCCACCTATGTATTCCCAAATGAATTGCCGAATTGAAAACGAATACATAAAAGGAACTTTCCCTCAAAAAAAATGACCTATGCATTCCCAAATGAATTGCCTAATCGAAAACGAATACATAAGGGAACTTTCTCTCCAAAAAAAAACACCTATGTATTCCCAAATGAATGGCCTAATTGAAAACGAATACTAAAGGGAAAAAACGGAAAAAAACCGGGAAAAAAATTGGCGTAATTTTCTTGCGGGGGGGGTTTATTAACGCCATGTGAACATTATGTGTATATTTGTTTCTGTGTGCTGGTGCGGGGAGCAAGTCAGTAAGATACATTGACCGGTTGTTTCCGTTGTTCACGATCCTTTTGCTGGTGATGATGATGAGGACACGGATTATGATGCTGCTGTTGTTGGTGGTGGTCATGTTCATGGGGAGGATGATGAGGATGAGGATGAGGACGATGAGGAGGATGATCACCTTGCCCATGCCAGTGCCGATACCAGCAGTGTTGGTGTATCTGTTCTCGAACGCCCATTCCCTCTCAGCAATGTTTCGCCCCCCCCTTCCAAAAAAATCGCATGTTTTTTTTTGTGCAAACGCGTGTCCGACCACGAGGTACCCTTGAGCCACTGCATGCACTGTGGTATCAATATTTTTTCCTTGGCATTACATGACATTACTGCAGTGTAAACCTTGAGGCCATTGAAGGTTCCGTTCATGTTTCAACAATTTTTTTCTATTTTTTCCCGATTCCAGGCTGGAGGATTGGGCATTTTGACTGGCCTTACCCAGCCCAGCCCAGAAGCGTTGCGTGCCGAGACTTGGGTGCTATTATTGATCGTGTTCAATATCAGTTCTTTCAAATTCATGCAAATTCATTGCCAAACCATGACGGGTCTTGTTTCGTAACATGGTTTGAATGCTAAGTTCTCCAGGGAACCAAAGTATTGCATCAACATGTTTTTTTTTGCAGCGCAACGTGCCAGTATGCATGTGACTTCCACAGTTTTCTGCATAGCACGGCCAACCAGAGCCAAGGAAATTCGACGATGTCGCACTATGACGGACTGATAGTAAGTTACGGTGCATCGTTAAACATGTTACAATACTTGGGAGTAGTTCGCCGCAGTCTTGCCACCTCCTGTATATGATGCCGCGCACCTCGCTTTTCAGTTTCAGCCTCCAAGTGTGTCAGGCATGTGCAGCATGTGCAGCATGTGCAGCATGTGCAGCATGTGCAGCATGCGGCCACAATGCAGGACAAACCCTTCGGAGTGAACCTGACGATTTTGCCAGCTCTGATCCCTGCAGATGCTCTGCCAAAGAATGCGCGAGAGAACATGTGTTTTTCTGCGCCCTTGTTTGATGATATTTGTGAACATTGAGTTCGATTTGGTTCTGGTTTTTCGCATATGATTCTTTTCAGTTGACATTTCTTATGGACTCAGGATTACGATGCCTACGCGCGGGTGCTGGCTGAAGAAAAGGTGGGAATGTATGTAGGTGACCGACTGGAGGCAGTCGTTGTCCGTTTGCTGAAGGTGACTTTGGTGGAGCTGGCTGCTGGCTCGCCTAAGAAATACACGCCCATGTGGAAAGCTGATGCGTCCTCAGCGTGACGACAATGGTCCCAGTGTTGAAATTGTGCCACTGCCTGGATCTTTGCATTTATCCTTTGCCGAAGAAACAGGGGAAGAAACCTTCTGCATGGTGATATTTCAGAATGTGTTGAATGCATTGCACTAAATTGCTGAGGCTGGTGTCAAGGTTTTGCACAAGTCTGCAACCATCCGGCATGCACTGAAGGTGGGCCACCTGCTGACCAAAAAGACTGCCATGCTTTGTATTGTGTGATGATGGCATTCGGCAATATCGTTGCTTATCATGGCAATATATTTGCACTGCCAAAATACACGCATAAAATGAAGGATCCCCGGCACTGACCAGGCCCAGGAAGCCGGAGTAGACATCATCGAGATTGTCGGCTACGAAGGTGCAACATAGTGCGTTGGGTGACGGTTGTTGATAGTTGTTGCGTCCAAGGTGTGCCACTGCGCAGGGTTTGATGTGGCGATATCAGTGATATCCATGATAATGTAATATTTTGATATATTTTATAAAAATACATTGCTATCGTCCTCATAGCAATTCCTTGATTTTAGCTGACAATAATACTGGATGATATAGGATGTCAGCACTCTTGATGCACGACCCCACCTCCGTCATGTCACCTCGAGGTTCGATCGCTGGTGGGCAGCCTGGCGATGAGGCCCTGGGAATTTGTACGTTGAGATGGTGAATTCTTCTCTGACAGGTTTCCGGGCAGGTTTGGCATGAAAGACTTTGAGATCTTTGGTCGTTTGGCCGACGCAGGTAGGAGCTTGGGTGCTGTTGGCAAAGGTGTGGCCCTGTGGTGCATGATGCTAGGGCTGGGGTGAAGAGTGCCATTTCATCTCACGAATCACGAATCGTGTTTCTTAGGCTACATCTATGCTGAAAGTGCCAGTTGTAGCAGCTGGCGCTTCAGGAGAGGGTGTCATTTGCTGCTTTGCGTGGGTTGTCTTGGGTGAGCTTGTGGTTTTTGTGGCCTGCCGCAGAACAAAATTGATGCCTTCCAAAAGTCAAAGTCAGCCCGGACCCACGTCAGTGATCAGTATGATGCATCAATGCAGTACTTGATAAATAGTAATAATAAGAATGATGATTATGAGTGTGTATTTTATCATTTTATTTATTTATTTGTTGACTTATTGTTTTTTTGGTCATTTTATTTATTTATTTATATATGTATTTATTTGTTGGCTCATTTGTTTATATTTTCTACATGTTTATGCCAGCGGACCGAAAACTGTGCTCGTAAAACTAACGTTTTTGAGAACGTGCTAGTACATTACTAAATTCTTCTTTGGTATGAACCATTTTCAACTACGTTACTAACTTCTCTAACCACTTGCATGGGGTGGGGTGGGCTATTAACGTCTTGTCTACGAAGAACTTCCGAGTACGTTACTAACACAACTTGCAACTACGTTCTCACCTTTTTCAAATTGCAACTGTGTTCTTGGCTTTTGTAACACAAATTGCAACTAGGTTGTTATATTCTTTTTCAAATTGCAACTACGTTGTTTGACACAACTTGCAACTAGGTTGTTATCTTCTTTTTCAAATTGCAACTACGTTGTTGGTTTTTGTGACACAACTTGCAACTACTTTGTCATCTTCTTTTTCGAATTGCAACTACCTTGTTTAACACAACTTGCGACTACGTTGTCATCTTCTCATTCAAATTGCAAATATGGCTTTTCAAACACAAATTGCAAATACGTTGTCACCGTCTTTTTTAAATTGCAACTACGTTGTTGGCCTTTCCTACACAACTTGCAAGTAGGTTGTTATCTTCTTTTTCAAACTGCAAATACGTTGTTGGTTTTTGCAACACAACTTGTAACTACGTTGCTATCTTCTTTTTCAAAATGCAACTACGTTGTTGGCTTTCGTAACACAACTTGTAACTACGTTCCCGTCTTCTTTTTCCAATTGCAACATATTGCAACTACGTTGTTGGCTGTTGTAATGCAACATGCAACTACTTTGTCATCTTCGTTTTCAAATTGCAACTACGTTTGTAACACAACTTGCAACTACGTTGTTATCTTCTTTTCAAATTGCAACTACGTTGTTGGCTTTTCTAACACAACTTGCAACTACGTTGTCATCTTCTTTTTCAAACTGCAACTACGTTGTTGATTTTTGAAACACAGCTTGCAACTACGTTTTCGTCCTCTTTTTGAAACTGCAAGTACGTTGTCATCCAATTTCAACTAGGTTCTCGATGCTATGTTACTTACTTTGTAAGCTCTTCCAACGACTGTAGTTGTTAAGAGCACGGTTTCGGCCTGTTTACAATGGATGTATATAAATTAATATAAATTATATAAACCTCAATGCCACCTTACAGAAGAAGACCATCGAAGCTTTGAAACGCATCTTCTGACGGAAAAAATGCTATTTTTCAGAGTCCACAAAAATCCTCCGATGAAAATGAGGCCAAATTTTGGGATCCATTTTCTTGATGTTTTTGATTAAAAAAACGCGTTTCACCACAGTGCCATACTATTTTCTTTTTATAAAAACGTGCTTTTACGAGCACGGTTTCCAGTCTGCCGGGTTATTTATGTAACATGCATTGTTAGAAATCCTACTGTTTTCTCAGGGTGACCCGTGTTCTCTTCGTCGACCTGTTTGCAGCGATGGCTTTCTACCAAATGAACCGGGTGCAGAGAGAGAGGGAGAGAGAGAAAAAACAAGACTTGGACACCCACATCGTCCCACATCTATGAATCATCAATCACCATCAAAGACCCAGTTCCAAAAACTTACAGTATCAGTTATTTCCTTTCTGGACCCATCCAAGTTCACAAAAAAAAACACGTTTTTTCCACAGGAACCGGGAGGCAACTGGCGGCTGCTTTGGCCATGGGGGTTCTGAGCTTAGCATCTGCCATGGAACCGCCATATCCCGCTATGGGCGTGGGCCCAGGCACAAGGAGTCACCATGGCAACGCGGTTCGTGTGCACCGTGGAGGCTATGAGTGATGATGCTTGATGTTTTATTTTTTATTTTTTTTGGTTGGTTTAAATAAATACAACAAATACATCAGAATCAGAAACAAATAACTGTATATAACTGTATGAACAAAGGAGAACAACAATATAAACACCCATACGATGCATATGGTGAAAGATCAACTGTATGCATATATGTGCATATACATGCATACAATAGAGTTTTTACAGATAGAAATGGTAAAACAGAATTTATATCCCCTTCCGGCCCTTTGGCCGGCAGCCTGTGCCCGTCTTCGCAGGCTCCCATTGATCAGAAAATCAAGGCCAGGCAGGCCATGGGGCCCACTATGGCCCACATCTAGCAATTTTGATGGAGAAAATGATGAACGACTGGATTTTTGGGTTGCCCAATGTTTCTTGATAATCCCAGATGACTTGGCTTGCGGCTGGCGGAGCCTAGAACTCCGGATGCGTCAGGGCAAAAAGGCGTTGGCTTTGGCTGTGCCAACTTGCCAGGAGTGCATGATGCGTCCAGAGGTAGATGAGAGGCGCCTACCTTGCGACTGGAGGGGTTTACTGAAGGTTTCTGAACTTGCTGAATCTTTCAAATTCGTTGAACGCTTGTGAGTGTGTGTGTGTGGGGGGGTGCTTGGCAGGGTTGCTTGTGACTCATCCTTTTCAGTCATTGAAATGTCTCAGTTCAGCTTCAACTTTCAAACTACACCACCTCGCTGGAACTGTGCAGAAGTGTCAGAACAGACGAACGAAGGACAATCGTAGTCCATACGATGCCACTGCCATCCATTTCTACCTTATAGCATCGCCCGATGCCACGGGCTAGGCAGACGACTATCGTTCTTGGAACTTTGAGCAACGCCACCCGTGTCTTCAAGAATGGCGTGTCACAGGAGATCCGGCAAATCGAAAACAAAGGCGCGGCTCGAACTTTGTGCCATATTGTCGATGTGGTTTCAGCACTGGAAACTGCAAATGTGTGTTGCACCTCCAAGCGTCCGTGTAGACAGAAGACAAATGAAGAAAATCCCAAACATGCTCTCGGATTCCCAAACCACTCAGAGTGGGACAGTGCAGGTTCAAACTTAACTTGGGTATAGTCTCAAAAAATTGTATGCCGCACGCCGGTTTCTCATTACTTGACGACTATATAGTTTACCATACCCATTGATTGAAATTGCAATCTATCATGATTTTCACACGGAAACATCACATACTGTGGGGCAAATTGCCCCTTAGAACAAGGTTAACCCATGCCAGTTGGAGGTGACGTGGACTTCAGTGAAGTGATGCCCTTGGCATCTGGCAGCCGCACCAAGAAGATGCAACTCGGAGTCAGCCGGAGCAAGGGTGGAGTTTTCCTTTCAAACTGGGGGATGCATGGTGCCAATTTAATAGCCATTTAAACCAGGGAAAACCTGGGAAAAAATGATGCAACCCATTGCAACCCCTATATGATAATCCCATATAGTCCTTTATTTGATCTTTGGACAGATTGAACGGCGATGACGCACAATGGCAATCGCAAGCAACAGCGACTCCCTGGGATTGGGACCATGGTCTTCAGTATTCCTCACTCAGGTGGCAAGAAACCGGGGACACGCAGGATGCCATGTGGAGTTGCTCGCAGAGCTTAGGACTTATCAGTGTGGAAACCCAGGGCCGCAACAGCCCAAGTAATGCGAATGAAAGAGTGGCTCAATTTTCAGATGATGACTTTGAAGTTGATATTGCAACTTGAGGTGGGTCTTCATTTTGGAATCATCGCTGGTCTTGAACTGCTAGTGATGATACGTCACCCTTTTATATCCTTTTATAATTACACTGCGATAAGCAATAAGAGATATCTATATTTATACTAGCCTTGAATTGATTTACGAGACAATTTACAGGACATCCCTCTATTCGGATAGACTCCGCTGGTAAACCAATGGTTTCACCACGCACAAAACCCACAGATATTGGCGCCGCTGAGGTGATATCCCCACCTGCAAGGAGCTGTTGAGGCTTGGCGATACCAAAATATCCACAGATGGCTCACAAATGGTGGTTTAATGTGGTTTGTATTGGTTTGTATTATCGTTGTGAAAATCAGCTGTTGGATTTACTGCGATGACTGTTTTCACCCCTTTTCGTGGGAACTCAGCCATATTCAGATGCTTCCTTATGACTTATCTAAATCCGAGAGTCATGTGATGTTTGAACCTTAAAAATGTGTGCGCTGGTGTGTACGATAGGTTGTGCGCTGTGTGCGTACGCATGCACGATGGGCTGTGCGATGTGTGCGTACGCATGCACGATAGGCTGCGCGATGTGTGCGTACACATGCACGATAGGCTGCGCGATGTGTGCGTACACATGCACGATAGGCTGCGCGATGTGCGCGTACGCATGTGCAATTCGTTGTGCAATGTGTGCGTACGCATGCGCGATGGGCTGTGCGATGCTTACGTACACATCTGCGATGGGCTGTACAACAGTGCGTACGCATACATGATTCGGAAATCTGGTGTGCGCGTGCGATGTGTGTGTGTGCGCGCGATGTCTGCATGGGCAAGCTATGCGTGCTGGCATTGGCAGGATGTGTGCATTCTAATGGTGGTCTGATGTTTTATGATGTGTGCGTGTGCATGCAATGGGTTGTGTGCTTTGCGCAAATGTGCGATGTATACCGCGCATGTGTATAGGCACATGATCACCGGTGCGATTAGGTTCTGCAATTTAAAAATGTGCCATTGGGTGTATAAAGGGTGCGTGCTGTTGAGCGGTGCAACAGCAATATCTATACTATATGTCTGCAACTTTAGTGTAGAGTAGATACTATTTGGACACTGGTATGGTTTAAAATAATTACTGCACGAAGATATTAAGCAAGCATTCCTGCTTGGCCCTTGCACAACTCCCTCCTCAACAAACCTATCCGTAGAAAAAGGGCAAAACCAATTACAGTATACCCATCGTTTGGTCAGGCAATAGTGTGCTTGATCAAGAAAAAAATAGGCAAATTAGTAGTTGCAAAGAGGGGCGCCGATGAACATGTGAAACAAAATGTTGTAGGACAGTCACTCTGCACAGGAGTTTGTGAGCTGAGAATATGAACGGAGTTCATGCAAGGTTGGATTTCATAGCTTGAACGATGCTTTCCATGTCTAGCTTGCTTGCAACTGGTGTTGCAACTGCTACCTTACTTTTGGCTGCTGCTGAATCTTCCTTTCCATAGAAAAAATGGTTTTAGAGACTAAGACGCCAGGAAAACCATTAGTTTGAAAAAACATGCTTGTAGCAAAGAATAAGTAGACGCAGTTCTTGGATATACGTTCTGTTTGATGACATTCTACGACAGAAACTATGGTTGGGTCATTTGGGAAACTAACATGTCGCTCAAGAAAAACGCATACCAAATCGAAATGTGGCACGGGGTGCTCTTGAAGGCAAATTCAAGGCTTCCACAAACTGGAACCTGGTAAACGTGTCAAGTCAAACAATTTCTATATATATGTTCAAGAATTGAACGCTTGGGTTGTGTAATGAGCGCTCGTGCAGGAGAGCGGGTCACCCTGTGGAAACCATTGTAGGAAGTGGCTTAGTGAGAGAGAATCTTGTATAGAATAGATTCGCCAACACTTAGCAACCTAGAACCCTCAAACCCATCTGACTCAGACTCACTCCCCAGGTAAGTGGTCCACGAAACATATGCTTCAAAACTATATACTTTGGAAGAGAAGGATGCCAAATAGAATTGACTTTTCAAATTCAAAAAACAAGGTTGCTTGCGGTTCCCGAAAAAACATTGTGTAGTTGTGAGGTGTGTTTTCAAAAATCCGTTCTCCGCATGTTCAGCGCCAAACAAGCACATGGCAAACAATCAGAATCTTTGATACACCTCGCTCAAATTAATGCCGTTTCCAAACATATTCTACAACAACCTACAACATGTCTTTACTGAATTGACACGGGTCCAACGATTTTTTTTGCGACACAGAGCTACTCTATTGTATTTTGTTCCAAGACTTGTCTGTGACAAACCTGACCAACATACACACACGCACATGATTGTCTCAACCTATGTGAAACTCACACACCAAACTTGCCCACAGAAAACATTCTGCAACAAATGCTGTGTCAGGAACCTTTGACAACATCTGGACTTTGAGCACGACAGGATTTAGCAAATTGGAAATATCACATATCCATCCACCTTGTGAGGATTTATGGGAAAAAAGAACCTTGAGCTGAGCTGTGACATGGGTTTAGTGTGAAATGTGTTTCGCCCAAACTAATGGCACGAGCATGTTCGTACACCACATGTATATATATATATATATATGCATATATACACATATATTTATATTACTACATATTGTGTGTATTTGAATACAGTATATGTTTGACATAATTTGACATATATGAATGAGAAACCTAAATGTCTATTTGTACATGTTTGGATGGGGCTAGGTGCATGAGTGAGTATCATCTCATCTTGCTTATCATAAGGGCAACAGAAAATGGTTCCCAACAATTCATTCCTGCTGGGTGTGAAATCATTCATCAGATCGTAGGACATGTTGTGGAGCTGTTCACAAGCACTGCATGAGATCCCATGAGGCGTTTTACGGCAGCCATGGTCTGCGTAGCAAAAAGTAGGCCAAGCATGTCATTCCCTCCCACAGGAAACTTACTTATTGTTGCAAGGTGTCTCCCATGTTCCTATTCAAACATTGCATTGGAATAAAACGGCGCCCAAAAACACAATACGTGTTTCCCCAAATCGCTTGCCATGGTTCTTGCACATTCTTCTGCCATGAAATGTCCAAAGATCATTTTTGTTCATTTTTTTGTTTCCAAATCATTTCTTTGAAAGGAGGTCTAGGAAAAGACGTGCGTCAATGACACAGCCATGAAGATGTTCTTAACTAACCAAGCCCGCTTGTATCTCAAAAGCATTTTTCAAGCATCTTTTCCAAGCTTTATGTCCATGTGTCTGACTTTTTGCGATCCACTATACGCAAAGATTTCAAATGGTATTCCAACAATGAACCACATGAAAGCGAAATAGAACCCACCTTCCTTCAAGAAAACATGAAGAAGTAGATAGAACTAGTCAGGGTCTGTGTGCGAGAGTCCAATCTCTTGAAGATGCTCCGTTTATACAAGTTTACAGGTTTGTGTGTCGCAGCTACTTTTTCCATTTAATATACTGTGTTGCATTTTGGAAGGTTTATGTTTTCCAAAATGTTTGCCTGAAAACTAAGCCTCACAGCTAACCTTAAGCCTATAAGACCGGGTCCCAAATGTAGCCAAATCCCAGGTGTATACATGCCAAAAATTCAGAAGTGCCAAATTTAGAGCTGCCTAACTCTCCACCAAATCCAAAACCCATTCAAACATGAAAACGGCACGGGCCGATTGGACAAGGCGACCGTACATGTCGACCGTACACTTCGACCGTACATGTCGACTGTACAGGCTTTTGTCAGCAAATTTGGTTTTGTCAGCAAATTTTAACGTTTTGTGAGCAAAAACTGGCAAAATTTGCTGACAAAAACGTGTACAGTCGAGGTGTACGGTCTGGGTGTACGGTCAAGGTGTACAATCGATGTGTACAGTGGACTGCAGTGGAAATGAGCAGTTTGCATGGGCTTGTGCAGTATATGCTGGCCTGTAGAAACTTGAAACACCATGAGTCACAAGGAACGCTGCTTAGTGCACGGAAGCAATGCTTTACTCTCCTCCTGGTTGATTCTTCATTTTCTTCATTACAGACCGAAGTGGGTGAGGTATAGTTTCTTTTGCTGGCATGAGACCGAGGGGAAGTTGCCTTTTTGTAGGTCATGATTATATTTGGGTGGAATTGTAGCCTTGTGTGCGACTCTGGGTTATTGAGCTCGATCTTTGTTGGTTGCGTTTGGTTGTGGGCAGTTTCCCCAACCATTGTGTAGCATGTATGCGCTGGTCTGTGCAAACAAAATTGTCATACCTATGGCATGTGGCAGAGAAAACCTTGAGGAATCAGGTTCTAAGGACAGCGTAAGACAACGTTTGGACAAATCTCGCTCGGATCCAACCTGAACAAAAAGGAATGCATCATGCACGAACTACTACTTGCCAGAACATGTCATCGCAATGATCTGAAAAGGTTCGTGAAAGTACATTCTTGGCACAGCAGGTATCATGTTGCTGGAAATGAATTTCACATGTCTTGTGGATGTTGATGAGTTTACCAAATTTTACCGTTCGTCAGATTTTACATAGTCGAATATTTCATGGAGGAATGGTGTTCAAAAACATGGCAAGTGTTTCAGGTGACTGTTCCATGTTTGGGTTTTTTCACAAACATATTAGATCATATTAGTTCAAGTACTTCTCAAGCCGAGTAATGGACAACCCTGGAGGGGAGCTTGATATCAACAGTTTTTCTGTGATAAGAATCATATAGACTTTGGAGACTTTAGAGACTTCAGAGACTTCTGAACATTGTTTTGCAAAGAAAAAATTGAAGAAAAGAGCTCACATAAAAATACACAAATGGGAAACAATAACTCTCACTGCTTAGGTTTGGAAAGGCCTTCGGGATGTTTTTTGATGAATCTATGTTTGTCGTTTTGTTCAAGTGTTTTTTTCCTCAATGGTTTGCCAAGGAACACGTGCAAACAAAATCAATGGATATCAAGGCGAAATATATGCATAATGTTACTAGACATGATGTTTGGCACAAAGTCAGGTGGGAGAAGTTGAAGATGGATGGGGGCTACACACCATTTTGACAACAAGCTTGTTTAACTACGGAGGACGTCAAATTCTCTCATGGAATTTCCAGGAAAGTACTTTGGCCAGAAAAACCATGGCAAACTGGCAAACACCTCTTTTTTGGCACGAGGAAAAGTCAGCAAGGAAATTTATGGCTCAGATTCGGAACTTGAAGAAAGTTGGTTCCGTTTTTGCAAGGAGAGATGTCTGCAAGATTTACCATGTTTTAAACATGCTGAGAATGAACAATCTGATACTTGATTATGCAATTCACGGCAAAAACCCTCGTAGGGAAAGACTCTCGCAGCATCCAAAGGCAAAAGTTTTCTAGTCTAAAAAGATATCGTCATTCGGGAATCATCCCTCTCCAGGATAAACTTTGGGAGACAAACATGTAAGCGGTTTTGTGAGCAAAGAATGATCGCGCATTCTATTTTTCTGAAGTGCGGAGAAGAGAAAAAAACAAATGTAAGAAACCAATCTGTGTGATCCGACTGCGGGGACATTGTATGGCAAAATGTGACGGATCATGTTGGAAAGGTCGGTATTGTTTTGCTGGAGATCTATTGTGGAAAAGAACATGCCAAGAAATGATTGCAGACCAATTCATTGGAAAAAAACAGGATTTGTTTGATGCTGCCTGTAAGTCAGTTCTGGAGGTAAACACGCTACACTTCACAGATTCAGGTTTTGGTTGTCAATTGTCTTTTAACCAAGCTATTTATCTATTTGGGATTTTGGGTGTTTTCAATACAATCACGTTTAGACATGTTTGCCAACCCCATTTTTGATACAGCATTGAAAAGTACACCGCAGGGGAAGGCTCATGACACCGACAAGATACCAGGACACTTGGGGCAACCATTCAGTGTCTTGTTGGGCAACGGCAAAGTCTTCTTGATGAGAATTTTAATTTAAATGCAGTCCCCGGAGGCAACTGCAGTTCATATCTTCATGGACAATTTGTTCGGGAAACGTTATCCTGGCCCAAATAGGAAAACTTAGGAACTTTTTCCAAGTGGTTTTCCTCTACAAACATTTGGGAAACGAGCTTGGGAATTGAATCAACATATTTCTGAGTCTGGCCCACAGCGTTGAGATGAAATGAGCTTCTTTTTGAGAGGGCCAGTACAAAGAACCTACATCGACTCTTCAATTTCAAAGCCAACCAAAATGACAAAAACTCTCCGGGACTGCTCGGAATCCATCCAAATAGCACTGATTCATCACTTATTGAGGTGTTGATTGATGATTGTTCGAATCGTGTGTAAAAGAAAATGCCATAGCCTTGGAAGTTCAGAAAAAACATGGCAAGGCTCATTTTTACATGTATTTATGTACATACGCTATATACATACATAGATATTCGCGTCAGAAAATACCATTAAAACGAAAAGACGCGTTTCAGGGAAACCATTGCCGTCTTGCACGCAGCCAGCCCCAACAGCACCAACAAAAAATACATGGTCTATAAAAGATGTTCCAATTTCGATACAAACTCAAAATTTTAGACTAATAGCTCCTTTCAATTCGAAAAATGTGTCTTACATGTAATTAGTAGACAGGGCAATGGACTTCATCCTTTTCGTTTTGATCTAGTAAAATTCTATATAAAATGGGTTCTTGGATGTTTTGGCAAATTTACGCAAAATTCACAAAACTATTAAGCCATTCAGGCCTCAAAAACGATGATGTTATACGATGTTTATTTTTGTCATGTTTGGAACATTTATTGGTGCTATAATGCGCCTTCACATCACACAGCCTGCTTTGCACAAGCACACGATACACACATCACACACATGCACGCGCATACAACGCACAATTCATCCACGTGTGTACGCACACATCGCGCAGCCAATCGCACGTGCATACGCACACATTGCACACCCTATCGCACGTGCGTACGCACACATTGCGCAGCCCATCGCGCGTGCGTACGCACACATTGCACACCCTATGGCACGTGCGTACGCACACATCGCGCAGCCCATCGCACGTGCGTACGCACACTTCGCGCAGCCTGTGGCACACCCCAATCGTACATGACGTCTCAACACCATCAAGAAACCATCTCCACATGACTCTTGGATTTAGATAACTTATGACCCTTTCATCAGAAACAATATCATCTGGAGATATTCTGGAGACAGAGTTCTTGAATATAGCCTCTGGTAAATTACCATGGAAATGGGTCATTTCCTTCAATGACTTATGTATATGTATATGTATATGCATATGTTTACGTATATAATAAATATATTATATATATATATATATTATATATATATACATGCATCCGCACAGGAAAGGCCATGTTAAACTACCCGGTGCCAGCTTAGAAATTATCAGCACCCGCCAGGCGGATGGTCTCAGAGGCTGAGGAGCGGCTCAACCGCGGAGCTCAGTGCATCGTGGCCTCCAAACTCTGACGGAGCAACCGCCGCAGCGGGCGGTTGGCCGGCTGCGGACGTGTGCAACGTAGGACAGACCCATGGCAATTGGGAAAATCATGGAACAGCTGCAGATGTTGATGGGGAAATGACGAAGAGATCCTGTGTACGGTCTGGTGTGTGTTTTTTTTTGTAATATGTTGTTTTGATTTTTCTACCAGTGCCAAATTAAATCACCAGAAACTGTTTTCCATCCCTTGCTGGGGCGCTTCAAGCGGCTCATGGACCAGAAGAAAAGTACGGAGAAGTCGTGGACATTTGACAATTGCAGTTTTGAGAATCTTGTCTCCCCCCAAAAAAACACGATTGACTCGATTAGGTTTAGAACATCGTTTCCCACTTGAATCTGCCATAAAATGGGATAAGAGCCCATTTCTGGATGAATCCATTTGGAAGCAGATTTTTGGAGATAAAGCGCAACGTCGTGAGTGTTGCGGAAACTGGATCGATTTGGCTCTCAGCAACCCAGAAGGGTTACTCAGTTTCACCCCCTTATCCCAACAGTATGTCAATAGGCCAATAAGTATCAATAAGTCACATGATGTCAGATGTGTTCGTGAACTAAGCCGCACGCACCTCCCAGGGTTTGTTATACTTCTGATAGCTTCTGATATTTCGGCCAGAACTTGGATTGGTTTAGGCCGGTCAAGTTGAGCATTGAGACGGACCAAGTTGGTAAAACTGTTGGGCTTCATTTGGTGAGTCCTTCAGTAGCCTTCAGTCAAACACTGGAACTCCCTTTTAACCGAGCCATGAAAGCGGAACTGCAATGAACTGCATGTCTTTGCCTCAAATTCTGGTGTTGGTGAGGTGTCAGGCCTTTGGCAACGCTTGAATGGTCATGAATGGTCCAGGGAAATGGGGGTGGATCTCAGGGGAATATATTGGTGATGAGTTCGTGTATGTTGCTGTTGATCCACCATCCACTTCTTGATCCGAACGTTTGCTCGAAATCATGTGAATATGTTACACTTACCCTTTGGCAGGCTCACATGCTAATGGAAAATTCACCATATTCCATATATAGATGTAAACGTATGGATTGGATATGTATGGATATTGTGTCAATGTATTTTCAATGTGTATATATATATATACATGTATATTCATGCGAAGATGGGGCACCCATAAGATTCAATGGTTTATCATGATTTCCCCAAATGACCTTGAAATGTGGTATGCCTCACATTTTGACAGCACCGTAGCAATTATTTGATTAGTTTTAGTTGACCATCGCATTGTAGAATCATATCGCATATTATGTCATGAAACCAGATCTTTCCATATTTTCATGATTTGTTCATGTATTTTCACCATATGTTCACCATATTGGCCGGATAACTCACCCTGGCGTGGCTGTTCTAAGGTCCAGCCCTCGTAGCCCCCGAGGGTCGCCGAGAGATGGAAGCCCTCGAGGAAGCCCTAGAGGCGATGGGGAGGTTCTGGGGGAGGAAGCAATGCATCGCAAACATCATAATATAAAAGAATAATGTGTATTCATTATTATCTAGAATATTCTAGAATGTGTATATATATATAAAACATGATAAAACATAACATTACTGTATATAACTTGTAAAAAATATAACTCACACACACACACGCACACACACACACATATATATATATACACATATGTATGTATATATATATATATGTGACATGTGCTATATAATCAAATATCAATATGAATGTATATGTAGTAAATTGCAACCGCCTGACCGCGACCTCACTGGAATGATGGTTAGTAAGCGGAATTGTCCCCATATTAGCCTTGTTTCAGGTTAGTGAATTATTATACGTTGCCCAAATATGTTATGTATATATAGTTATAAACATATTTATAGTTATAAACGGCAGTAATTTCTGAGTGAATTGGGATGTAGGGGTTTGTGAAGATTTCAACATGGGGATTCGAAGAGCAACAGATTGGCATTCCAGGCGGAGCTCAAAATCTTCACGGGAAGAGTTGTTGTTGGAACTGGTTGAGAGCTGAGCGGAGTGCAGAGATGTGGAGAGCGCCATTGGTTTTAATTTAAATTTACTTTTGGTTTTTGTTCAAAACCGAGTACCCATATACAATCCATTGGTGAAATGGTGAATTATCGTAATATATCATAATTATAATTGTTAGTTAGTTATTCCCCATGAAAGTGTCATTTTAAGGGGTTCTACCGGCTGTACTTTTTATTTGGAGAAAACCACATGCTAGTTAGCTGCTAGTTGCTTCAGCAGCTGACAGCATGCATTTGAATGAGGAGGTGTGAGGAGCTTCACCCCCGGCCGCTACCAGTCAGTGCCTGAGAACTTGTCGTTTTTGTGGATACAGAGTGATTGATGCCACGTTTCTGGAGGCTGATGATTATATCACTGTTATATCATCATGCTTCATTTATTTGTGGCCCCTCCCCAAATCAGGTGTCGCCTAAAAGCTTTGATTTTGTAGTGGATCTATCATTTATACATATTTATACAAGGTTGCGCCCCCCAGTTATAAGTTGGTTTATAAACCATAGTAAGTATAGATATATCTACCAGAAACCATAGTTATTGGAGTTATAAACCAACTTAGCTAACTATGGGGCACCACCTTGTATTTATATTTGTTTTTTCCTTCAATCCCCGTGTTATTGGAGATTGCACATTGCAACTAAGGTGAAGAGAGCTGGGACGCGGAGCGCTCGGTACTCAGCTTGCCCCATCAGCAACGTGCTGAAGATACGACTGCATATATGAGTCCGGACTCCGGATCCCTGGCCCCCCCCCCCAACGGTATGGTCCCCCAAGCTCACGCTCTCGGGAACACGGGACACGGGACCATACATACATCCATCCATCCATCCATCCATCCATCCGGATGCATCCATCCATCCGGATGCATCCATCCATCCATCCATCCATCCATCCATCCATCCATCCGGATGCATCCATCCATCCATCCATACATACATACATACACACACACACATACATACATACCTATCTACCTACCTACCTACCTACATACCTACATACCTACGTACCTACGTACCTACGTACCTACGTACACACGTACACACGTACACACGTACATAATACATACATACTTACATTACATTACATTACATTACATTACATTACATTACATACATTACATACATTACATACATTACATACATTACATACATTACATACATTACATACATTACATTACATACATTACATTACATACATTACCTATCTATTACATACTTACCATACATTACATACATCTGACAATCCTTACATTACATTACATACCTTACAATACGCTTACCTACATTATACCATACATTACATACATAGCATACATTACATCCTTACATAACCTTAACATACATTACCTACATACTACAGTACATACATTACATACATTCATACATTACATACTTACTACATTACATACCCTACTACATACCCCATCCGACATACATTACATAACATTTACATACATTACTACCATGACATACACTATAACATCATTACCAGACTTACCTACAGTCACCTCCAAGACCATACTACATCACATCTACAATACATTCATGACAGCAGTACATAACCATAACATACCATACATGCCAAGACATACATACATACATACATACATACATACATACAGCATACATACATAGATACATAGATACATACATACATACATACATACATACATACATACATACATACATACATACATACACACATACATACATACATACATACATACATACATACATACATACATACATACATACATACATACATACATACATACATACATACATACATACATACATACATACTACATACATACATACATACATACATACATACATACATACATACATACATACATACATACATACATACATACATACATACATACATTACATACATTACATACATTACATACATTACATACCAACATACCAACATACAGGCCACAAGGGGGGGGAACAGAAGAACCATACCACCATCCCAGGCCACAGGGGGGGGACCATGGGGGGGGGGGCTTGGGAGTCCTGGGTCATATATACTGTAATTGTGATTTTGCAAAACCCACTATCATCTCATTAAATCCCATTACTGCGCAACATTGTCCCGTTGTAACCCCATAGGAATCACAAATGCGTGGTTTCTGATGTATCATTTGCCTTTGACTCAGAGGCGCTGATAAAGCCAAACAGGTGGCCTGACTTCCAGCAAGGATTCTGGGACACCCTCTTGAAAGGACACATGTGACAACTCTGACATTGAATTACCAACATAAAGTCTTCAAGACTGTACCAGTAGAGTCAGTAGAGAGCAAGTTTTGGTCAGAGCCGGTAGATCATAATTCCAGCAGCCACCTGAATATGAATCAGCTCGTGGGGCTCCAAACCAAACTCTTCATGTTCGACAACTTGTCCACTTAAGGTGGTTGAGAGGCGCTGAAATGTGCTCGAAGCTGGGGTTTGCCTGAGGATTTGGTGAATTGTGTGATGAATTGACCATGGTGATGGCCCACAGTTGTGATATTTTTTTTAAAAAAATCTTGGCTTGGGAATTTTATGGGATAGAAGCTGTGTCATCACAAGAGGTCCAGATCATAGCTGCCTTGCAGACTGACAATCAAGCAGGATATTTGGGAACCGTCTTGGATTACAAAACTAGGCCTGAGCCTCTCTGCAGTCCCAGGTCCTTGATCCATGTCGTCAGTACAGTGATTTGCCAAATGAACCTACAGAATCCTACAGAGATTTCTTACACGCCCTTTGACGACTTAAAAGGGGCCCCAGATGTTCCAAGATCCCCCAAGCAATTCCAAGCAGTGGAGCCTATCGGAGCCTAACACAGGCGTGAGCCCTTGCGAAATAGATTTCGAAGGCGCACTTGGGGTAGCTGGCAGGATGGCAGCCCCTGGGCGCGTCACAGGAAAACATGGGAAATCCAAATTTTTAATGGGGAAATATGGGGAAATAGTCCCATCCCACTAATATTAAAAACCCCACATTAACCATGGTATAGGGGGGTATTTAATATGAATGGAGGATGGGATGAGAGGGGATGGCATATTAGCATACGGCGT